ACCTTGTACCAATGTCATAGTACCATAATAAATTTAATAAGATCTTCATAATGAATAAGAAGGGTAATACTAATACTGTTACATGCCATAAAAATCTAATGACATGATAGGATAAAATTACACAGAATTCTAAAGGGAAAAACACAAGGGAAACTTGTGATTCGGTGATCCGAAATCTATAAATTAGTTACAAGTTATCGTTTCATTTTTTATTCAATAGTTGTATCATATAGTCATTACACAATCCTTGTAAATGTTAATATATAGACAAAAGTGATCATATGAATATAGACACAGAATATTTGCGAATGTTGTTATGCGCTACATAAATATTACAAAATGCGTCGCTCTCTATTAATTACAATTCAACGATCGTTTTATTGAATAATATTTAATTACATAATCTAGGAACCAAAATTTAAGTATAGTACAGAAAACAATATCAGTCCTATTATTATGCAACGTACGGCTGTAAATGCGACGTAATTGTGACTATTGGTGTAAAACTTAGGCATTCGAATGTAATAGTTTTCGAGAATGTGAAAAGTGAGGTGAGAACAATGTAGATAATAGTCGAAATGCCTAAGAAATACAGACTCGTATGTATACATATATATATATATATTAGTATTTTATGTCCGATACGTAATCAACAGTAATACTTATATACATTATCCCCTGTAGTGGTGTAACATAATTTACCTCGAAGCTATTGACTCGTAAACATTATTTGTCTCTCAAACGACAGCACAATAATACTGACTTCTAGCTGAATTAAAATTGATTTTCATTATGAGTTTCCAAAACTGTCTGTTTACTACAACGTAAATGTTACATTTCAGACAATAAAATAAATGCAAGCGAAAGAAAGTAAAATGAACGTTACACGTATACGAATCAGTAGATCCGAGGCCTCTATTATTTAACCAGAAAGTATCATCTATCGAACAAAAGTTCCAATAATCTATTTATATGTCTTCATATTACTGAATGTTGTATCTAAGCAGTATGAATGTATAAAAGAACATGAGCTTCTGTAACTAAGCTCCCAAGCAGCCTGGGCTCATCGACCCGGTGAAGGCGATTTATACTTATGGTTTCGTATCCAACGTGCCTCTAGCAGCTGCCACACATCTCTGAGCACTATGATTATAGTAGTTTGATTCTAAAGGAAAGAAACCACTTCAAACAACCTCAGGATTCCCTCATTTCCCAGAAGTACCACAATTTTAGGACCACAATGTGTATCTAACAAGACCATGACGTGGGCCAGGTGAGCATTTGGGTGAACAACGGATGGCTGGATATGATTGAACCATACTGGATATCTCAGAAAAGGTGAGAACATGTGAACATAGAGTCCAAGTATTATACTTCATCCGTAAAGGCTGGTTCAAACGCAGCCAGCAATTTAGTCGAGTAATTTAGTAACTTACAGTAGAGTAGATTTGACTCGTTACTGGTCACTCGACTGGATTACTGTGTCTGAGCCTACAGGGCTGTTTGAATTCACTGAGATATAAGTAACATGAAATATAATTATGATAATTCCCCAGGGCAGTGGAACTTTGGATCATGGGCCCAAGGCAAGGATGACTCCCAGCTGAAGCTTGGGTTGATAAGATTGGATTCACAAGGGACTGGATGTTACATGAAACTCGCTCACATAAGCTGCAAATGAGTGTTGTGGACAGCGAAGTTCAAGAGTACAGTAATGTCTCCCTAACTGATGCTCAGATTGTACAGAAAAATGGACAATTTGGGAACAAGAGCCTTATTCGAGCCTTGTAGCTCGTTTTTTATAGTTGTTGACAATTCGTAACTATAAAAACTAATCGCAAGGCTCTAATAATCGTATCTCCTCTTCCCAAAGTGTCCATTTCTGTGGACAATCTGAGCGTCAGTAAGGGAGACAATTTGAGCGTCAATTAGAGAGACATTACAAGAGACATATTCCAATCTGGTTCTGGAACAAGAAACACGAAACTAGAGTCAGAGCTGATTTTAGAAGAAGAGAGAAGGAGGATAAAAAGTGGTCGCATAGGAAAGAGGCACCCCCAATCCTGAGGCAGCGGAACCTGTCCATGTGGATGGACCATGGGATGAGACTCGACACGATGGTCTCCCAGGTGACAGCAAGGCCAGAGGCACTGGAGGAACACGGTCCGAAGGAAGGCCGGTAGGACCTTTTATTAAATATTTAAAAAAGTCCATTAATTACATTCACTTACCTCCTTATACAAAGTTTGGTCAAACATTTGACTTGTGCAAAATTTCTTGTCTATTTCGTTCACCTACACGTTGTAGACTAAAAAGTTTCTTATTGAGCACCTAGTGTTGAAAGAAAAACGTCTCTTCGTTATTATATTTGTGTGTGTGTGTGACACAAATGATTTAACCTTGAACAAGCGAACGAAGTTTTTGTTCTCTCTATGTCTCTAATCTCTAACTATGATATCGGTTCTTATCTGTTTAGGCCCATAGATGTGTTATGTGCAATCGTGGTGTGGATCATTTACAGCGTTGTTACAACGTTTGATAATATGCGAATGTGAACGTAGGAAGAAAGAAACAACGATGCATTCTCCTGCGATAGAAGAGAATTGGAACTTATTATATGCGACGGTAATTAATCTGTGTAGTAGATACTTAGCGATGTTACAATGACGTTGAAAGCAACAAACGATCTCTCCGCATTTTATAAATATTGTAAACGTCTGATAAAAAGTTCGGTTTGTCTACGAACAATGTTTATCGATCCGATGGTTCCCTTAATAATTGATACGGTGATATTACTATAACGGCGTTTCGTTTAGCGCCGAGCTGACAATTCTTTTGATTAAAAGTATTGCTTCGAAAATGCAAGTTTTTTAAGTTTTAAATACTGTCCAAAGTTCTAATACGAATGTTTATAGAGATATTTCACACTAACACCCAGATATATGCCCATCATAAATAGCTCATGGTGCTATAATATAATTTATTTGCGTTTCGATTGGGTAGCAGTTTCTAAGCCGTTATTCAAGTACATGTAAATAACTTTTAAATTAAACTTATCGATTGACCCATCGCTTCACAGGTTCTGTCCAGTTGGATTCGTTCTCTTCCTCCTTCTCTCCGTCCGCCTCTTCTCTCTCGCCTCTCTCTTGTTCTTGCTCGCTGGATGGAGTGGCCGACGGTGTCTGCGTCATATTAACGTTACGTGCCCGCAATTCGGCCAGGAAATCGTTCTCTTGCTGGTAGCGACGTTGCAGCTCTTCCCGCCACGAATTTCCACCGCCACTACTATCATCCCCGTCTTCACCAGCCTCGAAGTCTAACAGACGAAAATCATTTCGACATTATGTCTTTTCAAAATAGAAAACTATTTTTTTTTTGTACATTCATGTGTAGTTCATGGTAACACTTTTATCTTTCATTGTTCTGAGCGAATTAATGTCAAGTTTACTGGAGCTTAGCGTATACAAGTATGCAAGATGAGACATTCATAATGGAATACTTAAATGTCCTTTTTACTTACAATTATATGTGTAAAGAAACTAAGGAGAAAGTTATGCTACTCTTAAATATTTTAAATAGCATCGTTCATCGTGTATGAAAAAGATTATGTCTGCGTGGAGGTCAAATTTATGATGATAGGGATCCAAAAAAATAAGCTAAACATAAGAATAATACTTTATAAAATTATAGAAGTAAATGATATGGTTTCTACATTTAAATAACATTGATGACTTTGGAACTTTGAACTGAAAAGAAGGAAGATCATGATTCGTTTCAAACGATGTTTTCATATGTATAATTATAATTAACAGCGACATTCAAGTATTCCTGTATAAACATTCCATCCTGGATATATATATATATATATACAATAAAGGTATCGATGTGTTTCTTGTCGATAAGATAAATTATAACTAGAATTTTTAAACATTAATCTACAATTTAGATCAAATTAGTCTACGAATTCTTTAGCTTTAGTTGTACGGTTACAGTATTCTATTGTATAATCGAGTATAAATGAAATTCTAGATAATTGGTACTAGTTCTGAGAGTAACAATAATACAGTCTTTGCTATCGTATGTGAATGAAATTATTACAGAGATGTAACCGATGAGAATATAACATTAATAATTTAACATTGATACTCTACATTCTGAAATAGCGGACCACTTTTCATAATGCTCATTCATGGTATAAATAATTAAACTAATGCAAAGAAAGCAAGTGATGTCATATTTTGCAAATGCTTGTGAGAATGTAAAAAAGTTAACAATAATGTTCGGTATTTCAACAAACTCTTACCTAACGGCTTTCTGATGTTAAGACGGCCAGAGTTGTGAGAATGATCCTCCTGGTCTGAGTCTGCAAGCCACCAGGACACATTCACAGGGGGTGCATATCACACACATTCCACAACACGTCTAAAGTGTTATTTGTATAGGAACATCTATTTGTTATCCGGTACAGAGAACATTTTTCAAGAACTTTGAATATATGTATATTATTCCTGATTTCAAATAAATCAAATGTTTAGTGACACGTTTTTTCTGTTTTTTTTTTTTTAAATCAATACTACTCAAAGTGTTTTAACGAAATATTGGATTAATTAACTTTTAGAATATTATTGATTAACGATATGGAACAAGTGTAACAATAATACTTCTCGCTTTGACTAGATTTTACATATTTGGAATAATTATTTCTTCGTTGTATTTCTTATTTAAGTTCTTTTTATGTAAACCAAAAATAAGTTTGTAATTGCCAATTCGACAGCGTAATGTCCTGAACAGAGATTTTGTTGTTCTACGTGTAGTGTAGTCTGTGCTATTGCTAGACTAAACTTTGCTAACTCTATTCTAAATGAGAGAAAACGGGGATAACAACAGGCAAATGTGTAAATAAGGGTGTAAACTAGATATGTACATCCGCATAAGTTTGTTTCTTCAATAGCACATAAATGGTAAGTATATTGGACAAAAAAAATTTAATGAAGATACGGTGGGTCCTGTGTTATGGTAGAACGCGAGATGATTCTACATGCAAAAATTGATAAAAATTATAGAATAAAATTTTCTTGGCGTAAGCTTCGTTGTCAATGAATGGAATAGGACCATTCGTTGGACCATGTGTATTAGAATACAATTCACTGTCCAGTACTTATGGTTACGATCTCGATTTATAATAAATTCACATTTTCTTTCTATTTTATAAATCGAGATTGTAATCATAAGTACTGGACAGTGAATTGTATTCTAATATATGTGGTCCAACGAATGGTCCTATTAGAGAGAGAGAGAGAGAGAGAGAGAGAGAGAGAGAGAGAGAGAGAAAATGAAACTCGGGTCGGACGAAACTACCTTATATTTTATAATAGGCAGCGGTCAATATGCCGCTATATATTATTGTGTCGAACAATATTATAAAGGGGAGCCACGAGGCTTGAATCACGCCTTTTAGTACTTTGAAATACAGTTCCAATTCCGATCCCGCATCTTTTAGGGAGATATTTGCAATATTGACTGAACCACAAATGAAGCATACTATAATACAAACTTTTGTTTCATACTTTTAATACATTTTCTTGTGTAAAATTATTTCCTTTCAAATTGTATTATCAGTTCATTAATACCCTATGTTCTCATTATATTACTGGTATTTCCATTATCGTAATTTTGGAAGATTATTATTATTATTATTATTTTCGTGAAACCCTTTTAGTTTGCCCGCAAATAGTGTTAATATTGTAGTTTTAATTTTCATCTTTTATACTTTCATCTTGAATAAAGTCAATAATATTACACTATTTGTAAGTATCCAACTATTTAATGATAATGGATCTCTGATCAAAGAGTTATATACAATATGTATATATTAGAAAATAAAAAAATAATTAATTCCGTTTATGAGTCGTTGCATAAATAGAAACATGTAGTGACCTTGTACCAATGTCATAGTACCATAATAAATTTAATAAGATCTTCATAATGAATAAGAAGGGTAATACTAATACTGTTACATGCCATAAAAATCTAATGACATGATAGGACAAAATTACATAGAATTCTAAAGGGAAAAACACAAGGGAAACATGTGATTCGGTGATCCGAAATCTATAAATTAGTTACAAGTTATCGTTTCATTTTTTATTCAATAGCTGTATCATGTAATCATTACACAATCCTTATAAATGTTAATATAGACAAAAGTGATCATATGAATATATACACAGGATATTTGCGAATGTTGTTATGCGCTACATAAATATTACAAAATGCGTCGCTCTCTATTAATTACTATTCAACGATCATTTTATTGAATAATATTCGATATTTTTATGATAACGACAAAGATGCTACAATCTAGTTTTCGTTATTTATGCGATAGTAATTATTGATATCTAAATTCCTC